CTTCTTCCTTTGAATTGAGTCAGGGGTCGGTTGGATCAAATCACCTGTGCTGAAAATAGATTTTTACACTTTTGCCCATACAGCCTTTATTTATGGACAGATGTCTTTCATATCTAATAGGAAGATATCTTGCACAGATTTGAGTAAGGGGTCAGTGGGTCAAGATCAGGGGTACCAACAAAAAAAAGATTACTACACTTTGCTTATACATACTTTATTTATAGATGTTTTTTTTCATATTTGGAAGGAACATACCTTGTATGTTCCAGTGTTGAGTGTCGCAAGGTCAAGGTCACTTGGGCTAAGAATAGATTATTTACACGCGTTTTATACTGCCTTTGTAAAAATGTTTAGCAAGGTCTCATACTTGCAAGGAACGTACCTTAGCTGGTTCTTTAAATTTGGATGGAGTTTTGGGTCACTGTGTTCAAGATCAAGGTCTGGAATTTATATATATTCGATAAAATTTGATTGGTAAGTCAATATTTTTCAACTTCATCACAAGTAAAGTCATAAAAATGACTTACAAACCTATATTTTTCACATTTACAAAAACACTTCTGCCATGTTATATAATTGTATTTACAAATATTTTAGCAACCTTTCTGTCAATAACTGAGTGAATAACTAAAGCTTTTTTGAAAAATTGTTTCTTACAAGAATCTTAGCCGGGGGCATATGTGTTTAACAAACACGTTCTTGTTTTAATTTATAATTGGACATTTCTTCCTTCCCCCACCCAAGTGTTTATATAGTTATCATTGAACATTTACTCCTTTCCCGATTAAAGTCATTAAATACACCATTGGACAATTGCTCTTTCTCCAATCCGTGTCTTTAAATTTATTATTAGGCATTTGCTTTTTTCTTTCAAACTGGGGCTCCAATCTTAGCTTGTAAATGGCATTGTTTTTCCCCAATCCAAGTCTTTAAATATATTATCGGACATTTGCTCCTGTCTCATCCGTGTCCATAAATTTATCATTTGAATTTTATTCTTCTTTACTGGACATTTTCTCCTTCCCCCTTTCCAAGTCTTCAAACTTATCAAAGGACATTTTCTCGTTGATCCATGTCCATTTTATTTTATTTAATTGTTTATATAATACATTGTATTTATTTTCCCCCGCCGAAAAGGCGGCCGGGGATATAGAAATAGTCTCCGTCCGTCCGTCCGTCCAACCTTCCGTCCGACATTTTTGTCCGGATCATATCTCAAAAGTATTTGAGGTATCACCTTGAAACTTCATAGGTGGATAGTCCTTATTGAGGAGGAGTGCAGTACACAAGAATGATAACTCTATTCTGCATATTTTTTGAGTTATTGCCCTTTGTTATTTTTCAAAATTAATTTTTGTCCGGAGCATAACTCAAAAAGCCTTTGAGATATCAACATGAAACTTCATAGGTGCAGAGATCTCACTCAGGAGGTGTGCAGTGCACAAGAATGATAACTCTACCTTCATAATTTTTGAGTTATTGCCCTTTGTTATTTTTCATATTTAATTTTTCACCTGAGTGGAGCATAACTCAAAAGTGTTTGAGATGTCAACATGAAATGTCAAAGGTGGATAGATCTTATTGAGGAGGAATGCTGAGTGCAAGAATGATAACTCTTTGCTATATAATTTTTGAGTTATTGCCCTTTGTTCTTTTTCATACTATTTTGTGCAGAGCTATCTCAAAAGTATTTGAGGTATCAACTTGAAACTTCATAGGTGGATGGATCTCATTGAGCAAGAGTGCAGTGCACAAGAATGATAACTTTACCCTGCATAGTTTTTGAGTTATTACCCTTTGTTATTTTTCAAAATTAATTTTTGTCCAGCGCATAACTCAAAAAGCCTTTGAGATATCAACACGAAACTTCATAGGTGCATAGATCTCACTAAGGAGGTGTGCAGTGCACAAAAATGGTAACTCTACCTTTCATAATTTTTGAGTTATTGCCCTTTGTTATTTTTTCATATTTAATTTTTCACCTGAGTGGAGCATAACTCAAAAGTGTTTGAGATGTCAACATGAAATGTCATAGGTGGATAGCTCTTTTTGAGGAGGAATGCTGTGCACAAGAATGATAACTCTTCCCTATACAATTTTTGAGTTATTGCCCTTTGTTCTTTTTTCATACTATTTTGTCCGGAGCTTATCTCAAAAGTATTTGAGGTATCAACTTGAAACTTCATAAGGTGGATGGATCTCATTTAGGAGGAGTGCAGTGCACAAGAATGATAACTCTACCCTGCATAATTTTTGAGTTATTGCCTATTGTTATTTTTCAAAATTAATTTTTGTCCAGAGCATAGCTCAAAAAGCCTTTAAGATATCAACATGAAACTTCATAGGTTCATAGATCTCACTCAGGAGGTGTGCAGTGCATAAAATGATAACTCTACCTTTCATATTTTTTGAGTTATTGCCCATTGTTATTTTTCATACTTAATTTTTCACCTGAGTGGAGCAAAACTCAAAAGTGTTTGAGATGTCAACATGAAATGTCATAGGTGGATAGATCTTATTGAGGAGGAATGCTGTGTGCAAGAATGATAATTCTTCCCTATATAATTTTTGAGTTACTCTTCCCTATATAATTTTTGAGTTATTGCCCTTTGTTCTTATTCATACTATTTTGTGCAGAGCTTATCTCAAAAAGTATTTGAGGTATCAACTTGAAACTTCATAGGTGGATAGATTTTACTGAGGAGGGGTGCAGCACACAATAATGATAACCTACCCTGCATTATTTTTCCGTTATTGCCCTTTGTTATTTTCAGCCATCAGTATTCACATAGGTTTCAAATCTGTAATCAGATCAGCCATCAGTTTTCATTACCAAAAGACCTCTTAAAATTCAATTATTCTGCTCTACTACATATACATTCTTCTAATGAGCAAACACATTCGGCGGGGGATGGCCATGTTGACATGGCTCTTGTTTATTGTTGTATTTGTTGTTGTTGTTGTTTTGCATACATTTATAAAGGACATTTCTTAAAAATACATGCGCTATTAAAATTTTGAAGGAAACTAAAAGAATATTCTTTAAACAAAGATCCCTTTGTTCTATTTTTTTGTTGGTTTGTCGTTATTGTTGTTGTTTGTGTTTTTTTTTTCGGAAATAGCAATTAGCTCAGGTTTTGTTTTTCGTATTTCGATATTGAAACCCATTTAAACTTTGAATGGAGTTCAATTAACTGTTTCATCTTATAAACAGGACAAGTTAATTTAAGAATTTCAGCAAGTTACGAATAAAACAAGTTTGGCATGTTATAAATATAATACTATGTGCATTGTACACTATTGACATTTTGCATTGCATCATTCTAATTTGCATAATATAAGTGGTGTAAAGCTACAAGTGGGGAAAGATTCTATAAATAGTTCAATATCTGCACAATCACGTGGTATTCATACACTTACGAGAATTCTAACAAAGTGTCTCTGTTATTCAACACACTCCACGAATCAAATAAGAAAATAGAAAAATGAAAGTTATACGTTTCCTTCAACTGTGATTTGATTATACCCCCGAAACGAAGTTTGGGGGAGATATAAGAGTCACCAGGTGGTCGGTCGGTCCAGCGGACCGTTGCATTTTCCTTGCCCGGAGCATAACTTGAGGACTAATGGTTGGAATCATACAATGATCAAGCACATTGAGAGAAAGTGCATTGAACAAGAACCATAACTTGAAAAGTACTGGTTGGAATTCTAAATAACTTCGTACAATGGTCAAGCACAATAAGAGGAAGTGCAGTGCACAAGAACCATAACTCTGTCTAAAGTAATTACAGAGTTATTGCCCTTTGTTACTTTTTTGTCCAGTGCATTACATGAAAACTAATGGTTGGAATTCAATGCAACTTCATACAATGGTTAAGCGCAATGAGAGAAAGTGCAGTGTACAATAACCATAACTCTATCTCCAGTATTTGCAGAGTTATTCCCCTTTGTTCCTTTTCCTTGTCCGGTGCATAACTCAAAAACAAATGTTTGAAATTAAATGCAACTGCTAACAATGATCAAGCGCAATGAGAGGAAGTGCAGTGCTCAAGAAGCGTAACTCTATCTGGACTTATTACAGAGTAATTCAATAAAATTTCTTCAAACCACAGTGAAAGGAAATGCACCTTACAAGGACCACAACTATCTTTAATTGGCCACGACCATAACTCTATTTCAATTATTTTACAATGTATTTTGTTACTAGTAAGTTACTAACTTCCTCATTTCCTAAGCAGTCTTGCGGGGGTATTTATCACATTTAGTGATAGTTCTAGTTTTAGTAGGTTTAGCACTAAAGAAATGATTGCGCATTTGTTAAAGATCCTGTATGTTTTGTGTACTGTATGTATACCACGCACGCAAAAAGTTATATATGTACTAAATACAGACAGCATAGTATGGATTTATACCCTTAAGTTTTGCCCTACGTTTTCGTCAGACGAGAATGTCTAGATTTGAAAAATTCTGACAGTTTGTTTCCCATAAACTATCCTCAATAGTGTTTATTTAATTTAAACTGGATAAACACTATTTGTGGCTTCTAAAAGTAGGTCAACGCCTGTAAGATCATCTACAGTCGTTCCTTTTTGTGCTGTTAATTTTTTCATTGTTTCTTATTAGCAGACACTATTATACCTTAACAATCCATTTATTTTAAATCTTTAAAATTGTCAAATATGTGTTTAATAATGTTTTTGTTTTTTTATAATGGATTAAAAGTATGTCAGATATTTAACAACTGAAAAAGTTGCGCTGGACATGCAGTGATGTGTCGTGAATGTATCAAAATGTATACAAAGTAGTATTTTGACTTCTATTTTCACTTAATATACTATACAAAATAAGCCCAAGATAGTTTATTTATATTGCAAATCAGTAATAATTTGGAAACTCTTGGCAAGATACAAAAAATTTAAAGTTTTTTATTGAGAAATAGAAATTTTAGGATTTCTAAGACATTATGTGCCTTTAATGCTGATATTATATATTTTTAGAATGAGATTAACAAAGAAACGAACGCTGCCGGCGGATGGTGCAAGACCTCAAGTATGGAAGATGGCGGCCAACACATGACAGATTTGCCGTTAGCCAGAGGCCTTTCAGAATTCTTAAAGAATAAAACGGTTGGAAGTTTCGGCGATGGGCCTGGGGCGTACAAAAGGGAAATTTTAAAAATGGAACAAGTGAAACTCTATGATGCTTACGACGGCGCGCCATTTTGTGAAGAAACAAGCAAAGGTATGGTGAAGTTTATGGATTTAACAGTTCCACAGTATGGGATACCAATGTATGACTGGATTTTATCGCTGGAGGTCGCAGAACATATCCCTAAAGAATACGAGCCAGTGTATATTGACAATCTTGTTCGACATAGTAAAGAAGGAATTATAATGAGTTGGGCTGTACCAGGTCAGGGTGGCTTGGCACATATTAACAATAGACCCTTTTCCTACGTGGCTAATTTATTGAAGTTTCATGGCTTTAGACATGACAATGTAACTTCCGAAAAGTTAAAATTGAAATCATCATTCCAGTGGTTGAGAGATAATGTAAATGTGTTTAGAAGAATAGAGGCCAATGCATCATATATTGAATTCCTTTCAGAATGGTACACGTGAAAAAAAGGTTTACTGTAGATGGTACAGAAAAGAGGTGAACTTTGTTAAAGATGCATGCCTCCAGATGAGTCAAAATATTTCAATAAAATCAAACTTGAGAAATATGTACTACGATTTTAGGAAACGTAAAATGATTCAAGATTCAAGTAATATTTTACATGTTATGTGCGGTCAATGACTGATATTTTAATATTTACAACTATATTTCTACTGCGTTACTAACGCAGTAAGGGCTATTTATGCATATTTTGACCAGTTTTTGGTAATTAACATGGCTTGTAAGTGCCATGGACAATGTGTAAATGGCTTAATTTTGGTTATATCACAATATTATACATTCAAATACAATTTTCAAATTTTTTATGAAAATTAGCATGAATCTGGAGGCGTGCTAACCTAACTTTAAAATTGTATTTGAATTATATTGGATATAAGTCACAGTTCACATGTGAGGTACCGTTCGATATCTTGATATCTTTTAATTCTGCAGTTCGTCTAGTATATAAGGCACAAGGCGTTGGATCGATGCCCATGTATTTTTATTTGCATTTTTAAAGGATGGCGGTGAAATCGATATTCTTTAGAAAGCCTTTTTTAGTCAGGCTCGGCCTTTTTCTGCATAGATAGTCTGTTGTTTTTATTATTATTTATTTGAGTGTTTGCTACTGTACATGTACCACTTGTATGTGAGAGAAAACGGAAAAATTGCTTGACATTGCTAAAAATATATTCAATTTCAAAATCAGCTTGCATTTTAATTACTCACAACCTTGCTTGCATATATGTTTAGAATTGTTTGTAATTTGACCCATTATGCCTGAAAAAAGTTTATATTTTTATTTCTCCAAAGCTTTTTGATGTTGGTGTACTTTTATAATATCTAGAATTGAAAAAAGTTACTCATTGGCCAATTACCTGAACCATCTTTTTTGTGTCGCCTCTACGGAGTAGTGGCGACATATAGGGATCACTTCTCCGTCGTCTGTCCGTCCGTCCGTCCGTCCGTCACAAAACTTGTCCGGACTACTCCTCATAAACTACCGGTGCAATTTCATCCAAACTTTACAGGAATAATCAGTACCAAGTGTAGTTGTGCATATTGTCAGCATTTTCCGGTTCAATGATTTTTGTCGGAGTTATGGCCCTTTAATAATTTTTATTTTTAAAGTTTATCCGGACTACTTCTCTTATACCACTAATGCAATTTCAATGAAACTTTACAGGATTGATCTGTAGCTCAAGTCCTTGCGCATATTGCACGGGTTTTCCGGTTGAATGATTTTTGGCGAGTTATGGCCCTTTGATAAAAGGTGTTTTTTTTCTGTGTGTTGCCTGATACACAAAAGCTTGTCCGGACTACTCCTCATAAACTACTGGTGAAATTTTATCCAAACTTTACAGGAATGATCAGTACCAAGTCTAGTTGTGCACTGTCCGTCTGTCTGTCACAAAACTTGTCCCAACATGAATTGGCCATCATGAGGCGACACATGTGATCACTGATCGCTCTTGTAATTACTCACAGAATTGTTTGGAATTTGACCCATTATGCCTCAGAAAATCTTTTATATCTTGTTCTCAAAAGCTTTTTAATTTTGGTGTACTTTTATAGTATTTAGAATTGAAAAAGTTACTCATTGGCCAATTACCTGAACCATCTTTTTTAGCTCACCTGAGCTAGCTCAGGGTGATCTTTTAGGATCGTTGAATGTCCGTCGTCCGTCGTCCGTCCACACTTGTTCGTTAACACTCTAGTGGTCACATTTTTGCCTCAATCATCATCAAACTTTGTCCGGATGCTTGTCTAGGTGATAGCTCGGATAAGTTCGAACATGAGTCATCTCGGATGAAAAACTAGGTCACCGGAGCTAAAAATAAAAAAACCTTGTTAACACTCTAGTGGTCACATTTTTGCCTCAATCATCATCAAACTTGGTCAGGATGCTTGTCTATGTCATTGCTCAGATAAGTTCGAACATGGGTCATCTCGAATGAAAAACAAGGTCACCTGAGCTAAAAATAGAAAAATCTTATTAACACTCTAGTGGCTACTGTTTTGATCCAAATATCCTTTTAAATTGGTCTGAAAGTTTGTTTTGATGATTTCTTGGTCAAGTTCGAGTATGGGTCACCTGGGTAAAAAACTAGGTCACACTGCTCAAATATGGGTAATCCTTGTTAACACTATAGTGGTCACATTTTTGACTCACCTGTCATGAAACTTGGTCAGAATGCTTATCTAGGTAATTGTTCGGATGAGTTCGATGGGTCAGGTGAGCGATCTAGGGCCATCATGGCCCTTTTGTTTTCATTTGTTGCTATTTTTGGCAATAAGTACAGTCATCGTGAATTAGTATTTGTTTGCTACTTTCATGACAAATTATTTTACATTTATCGCTACATTCTTCATGTAACAACTATCTAACATTCTCTGAAACGATTATTTAAACATTATGAAATTCATGTTTGCCCTTTCGAAAGAAGTAAAACATTCTTTATTTCTCAGGCATAATGTGCCTTTAAACGTTCAACGTTCCATCAGAAACAAAATAAAGCATATATAACTTTAATTTTCATTGTTCTGTTCATTGATACAAAATTACATGTTCAGTTTTTGTTTCATGCTTCACTAGTTCTTCAAGAACTACGCTAAAATTTTAATTATTATAATTGTTCTGTTTAAAATTGAATATAAAAAATAATTCTGTTCATTTTATTTATATACCAATTACGTATAAGCACTTTCTGTGCATTTTACAAGTCCCTGCAGAAGGAACTTTTCGTCATCAGAACAGCAAACTCCCCCCCCCCCGCCAAGTCATTTTGGCCGACAAAAAAACTATTTATTTATCTGTCTGTTTATTTATTTATTTGTCTGTTTATTTATATTTATTTATTTTATTTAATTTATATGTCTGTCTGTTCTTCATTCATTTATTCATACATTGTAATATTTCTTTCCATGTAATGATGTCTTATAAGTTACTTATAATGTTGAAACACAATTGTTGATTATAGTATGACACGAGGCGGACTTTTTACGCCATTTATTATCACGAGATATTCTGAGTAGGGCAGAGTGAAAAAAAACATATAGAATGTCACGAAGTAGAATGTATACTAGTAACTAATGGATGAACTACCTTAAATTATCTAGTAGAAAAATAATCGGTTTACATTTAAATTAACAAAAGGAATTTAAATCGTCCCTCGTAGCAGAAGATAAGTTAAACCATATTGCATGACGCGATAAGATAGTCTAGTGAAAATTTGCAGACATGCCACCTTTGACATTAGTTTTCCACAATTAATTTACAGTAAACTCCGCTTATATCAACATTCAGGCGACCGCCGAGTTTATATCGTTTTAACCGGATATCGTTATATCCGAGAGGCAACCAATTTGAAAATAACATTCGGGACCGCGGCAACAGCATCGTTATAAAAACATTGTACATGATTTAATTAGCCGTGTCTAATTTTGTGTCAGTGTCTAATTTTTGTGTCAGTGTCTAATTTTTTTTCGTTCTGATGTAGTCTCAATATTTCGACGGCAAGACCGACCGATGTAACAAACTGATATTACATAGATGTCGATGCGAAGGGCGATCAACAAAGCCTAGGTCCACATTTTATGGGGTAAGGATGATGGTGACACATTTTATGTTCACATGCCTAGCAGAGAGTTATTGTTTACGGATCGTCTATAAATGTCCCTTTAATTACTTTTTTGTATTACAACTAAAATCTCATAACATTGCCTTGCGGTAACGGGACATTCCCCCACGTTTATAGGGCAAATGTCCGCCTTTCAAAAGTTTAGTGGGACAAATGTCCGTCCTTTCAAAACATACGAGGAGGTCAAATGTCCGTACCGCAAAAAAAGTGTGGGCAATCGTCAGGGGGCAAATGTCATAGAATCCTTGCCTTGCAAAAAGTATAGGAATATTTACCGATTGGTTTGACCTGACTATAGTATGTTTAAATTCCTTCAATTAAAGGAACTCCACTGAGTTCCAAAAGCCTAAAACAAATTGAATTTCTTACAAATATCAGCATTCTGAACACTTAACACATAGATATGTGCTAAAGGTAATTAAGAAATATACTAAAAACAAGTTGAAAGTCGTATTTTGTGCTATTTTTAGTCCGACTTGAGTGAAAAACGTCGTGCCAAGTGTTTCAATTTTTGGTCATTTTCCCATAATGGCTAAACTAAAATTTTTGTACTTCAATTATTGGTCTAGACCTACATCAAATGGAATATTTATCTCAAAAAATTATCCCAAGTCCTGTTGTGTCAATAAAACCTCAGTGGAGTCCCATTAACAAAGGACAGCTTCATATCAAGCACATTAAACGGGGTTATGGTCAATTCATACATGTACAGCATTCGGATCTGCCTCGGCTATTATCTATAATAACCTCGGAAACAATACGGATTGAAAGTAGTTCTACCACGTGGTTTCAGATGTAAACAGATACAGAGATAATGTAAAACGAATGTATATATTTGACATCTAATGTCTGTTCCGGTACTATTTTGCTTGAAAATATGTCTGACAACAATTTGTAATTTAAATATGCTCACTTTAAACAAATCCGACTAAATGTCAACAGGTTGGTTTTTTGTACTTTCGGTTTCTACAACCATAATAATAAATATATAACTAATGTATTGTTTGCTTTTGTACCTATGAATTCACTTATTTTAGGTGGACTTTTACTACATTTATTGGAAATAAACTTGTCAACAACTCCCAGCATTAAATTTCTATTTGTTTACATGTTTATTTCCTTAGCGTAGGTTAGCCCGAAATACCGCATCCGTTCTGTGTATTCATACTATTGTGTTCGAGGTCCTTATCCGAAGTCTGACGGAAAGGGCCGAGTAGTTGCGATTGACATGTACAGCTAATCTGATGTAAAATCATTCCCTTATCGGTCCCCGCATTTATAAATATATCCTGGACTTAATATAAACAGCAGTTTAATAGGAAATAAAAATTGTATTACACTTGTGTTGATAATTTTGTTTTCCGGGATGTAACGACTGTTGTGAAAATGATTATTATGTTTCACCGATACAGAGGTCTCCAGCTTTTTGCTCGCTTGAAAGAAACCAAATGACTTATCGTGCATAATTTCAGATACAGGGCGAGAATCTGGATGTCCAGAACCAGTTAGTTAATAATGTTTCATATACAATATGTACTACGTCCCTAGTAGAGTCCTGGTAAACTTTCCGTCAGATATATCATGGGTCACGCCCAGGTTTATTCATATGACACCAGTAATAATACTTAGTCTGTGAAGCAAACACAAAAGTGGTCCAAATAAGCTGAAAACTTTCTACCCCTGACCTTACTGGAACCGAAAGAAATGGACTTTTCCACCAGTAGGTCTATAGAGCCAGGTTCAGGCCGCATATTCATACAGTCTGAACAGGCTCTATACTGTTGGCAGATGGGGTTTATCTTTTCATCTTGATATCCCATTGTAACATTGTATTGGACAGTTACAGGCACTAAATACCATTTGATAAATTCAGCGAGTAAAAGTTTAGACAAAAAGGTTGAAAGATTTATGTCTACGACGTTATATTCCAGCGAAGCAACACGCGGTTTTTAATAAAAAAAATTTACTGTGATGGTCATTTAGCGATTTCCTGGTTTCACTGATTAAGGAAGACCATATGTGTCAATCCGCGAATTATTTCAGACACGGTCGGGACCCTGAGAAGATCCACCGACCTTCTTCCGTAGGCCAGCTAGACAGTTTCCTCACATGGATGATACATCCGCGATTCGAACTTAAAGCGTTCAGGAGCATGAGATATGTAGTCAAAACTCACTAAACTGTCACTTAAAGTGTAAAATTTGCAGGGGAGACGCTGAAGCTGAGTTAACATTAAATTTGATTTAATTTGACGTTTAATTTCAATGGCTCAATGGCTTAACCGTACAGTAACTAGTAAATCAAATGTGAAAAGTTGCGAAATTGAGTTCATTTCTCATTCTATTACAACTGATTTAGTTTATACGAATTTATTTTGGTTCGATTGTGTTGGAAGATATTAGCTTATTGAAGCACTCTCGAATCCGTTCCTGGAACCAACCAGTACTAAGCAATGTATTTTAAGTTTCTTGTTAAAGTAATCAACGGCTTGCCCCTGAAAGGGTTTGAACCCATGCGGCCGGCAAACCTTAGATCACTAGTCTGACTCGTTAATCACTCGGCCATGCCACCACCACTCGTACAGATTCCGTATACTTATAAGTGCTCCTGTACATTTAACAAACACTGTAGATGATAACCTTTGGCGACTAAACAATGGTGCCAACAGCCTACGCATTCGTGCAGTTACCATCGAATTCTCTACTGTTTAGGAAATAGATATCAATTTTGAGTGCACTGTTGTAGATAATGCACGGTTCGAGTTCAGATGCGTAGGAATATAATCACAAAGGCCAATAGGTCTTCAGTATACCCGTCTTTATACTGTGACAGGACGTCTACGCCGCCTCAGAGAAACAAAAAATGTTTAAAAAGCAGCTTATACAGTTTTGGAAGCAAGAATTAGATAGGCCTGAGTGATTAATTACAAAGCACTTAAACAATTAACCTTGAATTATTATACTACTTGCGTGAAAAATTACCATCTATTTCCAATTCTAAAATTATTAGCCTTGAGATAAAAGGTTTCACCAAGGTAAGAAATGTGTCAGTATTCACAATGGAATGATAATTTGCGTTTTCTGTGCAAAATGAGAATGAATATGCAATAGCTAATCCCAATCACTTACAGAGAAATTGCTGTTCCTGCAAGATTTTTTTTAATGTATATGGTAATTTCTTTGGGTATTTAAGTACCTAAAGATTGCTTTAATCTCCCTCAGTTTGTACATTTTATCAATTAGAATTATTCTTGTAGAATGTCTAAACTGGGGACCAAAAGCCTAAAAACATAAACAAAAACAAATTTGAATTTCTAACATAGATGGACAGGGGCATCGGTAAAAATGTGAATTTCCGCGCTATAACATGCTATAACATCATATGTGAAGGAAAATAATAGATCGATTACAGGGTAAGTTTTAAACCTTTCAAACATTTGTAAAAATTCAAAGACTTTTTTTTTAAGAAAATAGAAATCTGGTTCTACCCTCCTGACTTTTATCTATAATATAATGTTAATAATTGTTTTCATAATGACCTTGATATTGGGCTGAAGTCCTTTTCTATGAAAACACTAAATTATTGACAATTTTATTATTAACTACACAATCATAAACTAGAAAAGTTAATTACTTAGTGAACAAAAAATAATATTCCGTTGTTGTGAGGTATTGCAAATGAGATTCATGTTTTAAAAATGTCTTATAACAATTCAAAATGGCGACTTTTTTTCAATGAAAATAGTAGTCTGGATTACCTGCCCTTTTCTCTCCTTTCAATAGTACTAAATTTTATAGTACGACGGGAAAAAGTAGATTCATAATGGCCGAGCTTGGGAGTCAGTCAAAATTCTCAAATCTAATAATAGCCGAGTTTTCTCATAAAGGCCGTACTTTTTTCATAATGGCCTTGTTTAATGTTCATAATGCCGTGCTGAACTTCATATTAGCCTTACGTTTGAAGTGAAAACGTGCCTAATATTGAAAAGTTAATTAATAATTACCCATATTGTATATAATTTTTATATTTATTGATATTCTGTTTCCGTTTTAGTTTGAATTTTGGTAAATGGAATTCACTTAAAATTTAACAAAATAAAGATACTCTATATCGACAACGATCTGTGCCAAATACTCATATTGTTTTAAGGGGTGGAACCGTGGAATGATTTCAAATAATCTTAATGAAACAAGTAAAATGGTGTTTTTACTCTCTCAAATTTGACTTCCAAATATAGCTCCTTTCGTATGCTGAATGTTTTTCATTGATGATGTTGGGACAATGTCTATTTCGGATATTGGTTTCAATTACAGAATGATACACAAAATAATAAAACATTGATTGCATCCGTAATTATGTTGATGATTTGTATACCATGTACCTATGGATCTCTTCAGCTAATATGGAGCGTAGATGGAATTTTGACCGGCAATTCACAATCTCAATTAGAATTTGTTCGAATGTTAAGCATCTTTCGGTAGAATTAGTTTTTGAAAACTTTGTAGTTCTAGTCCGTTTAGCGACATTTTCTTCAAACGCATTGCATGTTTTGGAACACGGAAAGAATATCTCGAAGGAGACTGCATAAAAATAGGTAAATACAGAGGAGAGTCAGGGGTAGAATCAGGTTTCGATTTTCTTTAAAAAAATTCTACTTTCATATACAGGTTTAAAAAGTTGAAAACTTCCCGTGATTGACCCATTTTCTCCTTCACATTTGATGTTATGGCGCACATCTGGATCAGCGGAAAAAAGACATGTTTTTTACCGATGCTCAAATCTTGAGTCATATAGGGTTCACCCTCGTGAACTGGCACACAACACAAACTGATATGCTAAAGATAATGAAGAAATCCTTTAACCACTATTGTATTTACCCGCTTTTTAACGCTCATCATTTTGGGGTACTTTTTTAATAAAAATATTCATTCTTTTAAAAAAAACAATGTATCTCTGAAAAATTGCAGAAGTTATTGGTCAAAACCTACATCAAATGGTACATAATTCTACATTTCAAGTCCCATCATCTAAAAAAAATTCAGGCAAGTCCCTTATTAATAATTGTGTATGTCCCGTCTATGAGATACAGCGTACAAAACAAACACACACATATATAATTTAATATTATTTTATTCTGTCATAATACATGTAGTTTTCTCTATCATCAACATGTACAACATGTATACTTTTACACATTCATAACATCTTAAATTCCCCCATTGTTTACCCCATCATTAAAACAATACAATACATAAATGCAAGAAAATGGTCCACCATAATCTTCAACATGAGAATTTTATTTTTTCAATCAATGTAAGATTAGGCACATAATACTTGAAATAAGTCTCCTTAAAAAATAAACTGTTAACATATACAATATTAAATGATATGACTTTTTTCTAATGACAAAAAATATATGAGCCGTGTCATGACAAAACCAACATAATGGGTTTGCGACCAGCATGGATCCAGACCAGCCTGCGCATACGCGCAGTCTGATCAGTATCCATGCTGTTCGCTTACCAACCCTATTACAAATAGTCTGGTTTGGATCCATGCTGATCGCAAACGCACTATGTTGGTTTTGTTGTGACACAGCTCATGTCAAATCAATTGACCCTGAATCTGCTGTATTTGCAAAATGGATCCGCCAAGCTTTAAAACTTGGAACATTCCATTGCAAGTTGTAGGGATTTCAATATCAAAACACAAAAATTGAGCCTATCAACAGTACAAAGCCTGGTCAGCCTGCACGGATGTGCCCGCTGGCCTAGATATATTTGGAAGTGAACTGTTATGATTGAATATGTTATGAAATTTTATATCATGTTTTTTTGTTTTTATTTTTTTTAACATGGTAGTAACTAAAAATTACTTTTATGGAAGATTACTATGGAACCTGTTTTTGGCAGATGCACTCGATTGTCTCTTTAATGATACAAGAAAAAACTTGATGGATGCATGCAACAATGACATAACTAGGTCTCGGTGACATTTTGCTGTATATTATCACCTTATTTTCTCAAAGTCTCAACTTTTTTTTTCACAAACAGTTATAACACTGTTTAGATGACTATGATAACTGAAACTGACAAAGTAAACTGAGCCCACGAGAATTTAAATCGCACAAATTTCTAACGGACATTTTCTCATTCATACAAAAATGACTATATCACACTGAATTACAATGCTTTCTTTCGATCAAATACTTGTAGGCCTATATACCATACTCATATATACACATAGAAACTGTTACACCATCGGGAAGATAAAATCACAATATTCGATAACCAAAAGTTTTTTAGCACTGCTACTTGTGTATTGTTTAAATTGGAGCACTTTTTTTTTTGTAAACGGCAAGAATTGAATCCTTTTATTTCAACATTATGATAACAAACATACAGGCTTAAAACCAAAACGCATTTACAAGTCATTAACAATCTGGCAGCCTATTATATTTATATATGAGAAATGAAAAAAAAATAATTTTTTTACATCATCCAAATCAATAAATTAAAATTTATTAGCATTTTAAGGCCTGAACAAGTGTAATCAAATAAGCAACATCATCTCAAAAACAACCATGATGTCACAGCATTTTACACCACAAGTTCAATAGAACCAAAACGTAGAACTAATAAATTAATGATTTCCTTCCCAACAAGTTAACACAAAAAAAAACCACATTTTCACTTTTATTACTGTTGTTAAACTAAATATTTAATAACGTTCATAAACTAAGCAGTCAATAAAATTTATAAACCTAAATATGTAATTTTGTAAACCAAGTTTTAACAGAAGGAAAAAATACAAATAGATTATTTTTCAAGTTGTTGGTAAAAAATAACCAGCATTCCCCTTCAATAATACATGAGCAATATATTCCAGCACCTGGCTATACTATATGATACATCTTAACATGGTTCATAAATAAAATAAAATCTTCAATATTTCATTTCACACTTTCAATATTCACTTTAAATAATTGTCAACAATTTTGTACATCATGAAAATTAATTCCCCTTAGTTTAAATATTTTCTAACAAAAAGTAAAATTGTTTCCAAAATGCTATAATAAATTTTCCATGAAAACGCATTCATCAGTAATAACGCGTTAACACAATGTGGAGTAAAAAATTCAAATTTCACACTTAAGTACAGTCAGATGAATTTCGGGAACAAGTACTTAGAACCGGACATTAAGCTACTCTAAAACAAGACATTATGTGATATATAATATGATTAGATTTGATGATTATCACAAGAACAACAAGAACCGAAAACCAGCTGGAAAACACCCCAAATATCCTTCCGGTTCTTTATTATTAAGCATATAACAAGGTAGCTTTGGGTAATCCTCTACTATTTTTTGTAAGGATCCCTTCAAAATCTAGAATATTAATCTAATTCTTGTAAAATATTTCCTCACGTTTGAAGCACTGATGGGAAATTTTTTTGCAATTAATTTTAAACCTGCCAAAAAAAACCAAAAATATTTTAAGTAGTCTTCAATTTTAGATAAGCTGCCCTGATATATACTTTATTTCTCTCTATTTCTTACATCGGAATTCACGCTGTTAGTAAGTCTTTTTTTTATTTTTTCTAATTTAAATATGGTCTAACACTTATTCTTATTTAATTTGTTTACAACTCTGTTTTCTTTCCCTTCTTCTTTTTCTTTCCATCTCTGGTATAACCCTGTAATTCTTCTTTACATTCCTTCGCCAAATATTTCACAAAGTCAGATACTTCTCTTCCACCCTGAAATAACAAAACAAGAGTGAGCGTGAGTGATAAATTTCAAAGCAAAGCAACAAGTAAGGGTCACCATACTCTGTAATTAAGAACATTTTGAATTTTCCCCCAGCTTATCAGTAGGTACAAACAAACTTTTACAGTTAAAGCTTTAAAAATAAGCGAAACGGGTCAACTAATCTATTGTGGCGGATAGTTCACTGTGAAGCTATCAACTGTAAAAGTTTGTTTTAACCTGTAGATTAGCCCGGAAAAATCCACATTTGCAGAGTTCTGGATAAAAACAAGTTCAATAAGTAACAAAAGAAATTGCCCCAAATTAAAGTTACTTGTCTTTACTGTAAATATGGAAAAAATACAAAGGGACATAATTCTACCAAAAATGATCAAATAACAAAAACCCTGGACATTTTGGTCCAGGGCACTTGGTGACAATAGTGAAATTTTGGTTGAAATCCCTTTAAAAATGTAGGAGTGAAGCTCGGAAGAAATTATGAATGTCAAGATGTTCTACAGTGTATTAAAATTCATGTCCAATTGTAGAAGCAAGCTATATTAATTGTCTATTAACATGAAATACTTTAATTTTAGACTAGGTCTAGGCAAAGTAAGCTTACTTATAATACTGTTCAGTGGTTGATTTCCTTATTAAGAACTAAAGGCACATGGATACAGAAATCAGTATACACTTACCTGGTATTTCTTTGGCTGACCACCCTTGGGTTTAAAGTAAAGTGTTGGGAATCTAAAAAGATAAAGAAAACAAGGTAAATATTCATCCTGATCAGTATATCTTTAACAAATCAAAATTTCTCATAAATAGCAATTATATGTCGCTGGGAATCTTATTAAACATATGGCTGCCATAACGTTGACCTGGGACTTTCTACTCTTTATAACATGGTTAGATATTTGCCTCCAATGAAATTTCAGTACAGTATCAAATAGTCATGTGACCTCAAAAAGAGATAAATTCTTATAATTAAGCTATGCTCAGTTACAATCTTAAAGTGTAAAAAGCTATATTTCTGTACACAAACTTGAATTTAATTTTGAAAACAAAAAAAATGTATATTTCTGTAAGAGCCAAAGGCACATGCATTCAATCATTACAGAACAGTTATAATAATAAAAATCGTTTTTTGTTCTGAAACATTTTTTATAAGATTTTCAAACAATATTTATGTGTCTTGTGAATTAAATAACAAAGACAATGTGCAATCAACCACAAGCTCATGTAAACAACAATTTTACTGTTCATATATTTTATGAAAATATTTCATTAGATAAAGCTTTAAATCCTTTAAATAAGGATCAATACAATAATAAAAAGTTCAACTTACCCCTGTACTTCATATGGTGATGGAACATCATTGGCTGTAGCATCCATCTTAGCAATGACCAAATCAGTCTCATCTTGAAGCTGTAAAAGAAATAAGTCTTATTTACCCTTACCACACTTAATACCCTAAATCTATAACACATTTAAGCCGTGTCACGACAAAACCAATGTAATGCGTTTGCGACCAGCATGGATCCAGACCAGCCTGCGCATCAGCGCAGTCTGATCAGGATCCATGCTGTTCGCTTACAAACCCTATTACAAGTAAAGAAACGGATAGCGAACAACATGGATCCTGATCAGACTGCGCGGATGTGCGGGCTGGTCTGGATCCATGCTGGTCGCAAACCCATTATGTTGGTTTTGTCAAGACGCGGCTCATTTAAAGTTTGTACTGGGAGATTAGGTTTGAAAAACCTACATTCCTGGTAACAAAACTACATGCTTTCTTGAGATGTAATTTTATATTTTGATTATATTTAATATTCAAAACTGCTAAAAAAGCACAAGAAATTTTAATCTTTGGTGGTTAGAATACAATCATTATCACATGATGGTCATTGTATTAATGTTCATTTTACATTTAAGGTGCCTTTTCCCAGCAAGGTAAAGCAGGGCCACCATATTTTAGTTAAGTTTTAGTTTATACGAATTTATTTAAGTTTAATTGTGTTGGAAACTATAAGCTTATTGAAACACAAATCTGCTCCTGGAACCAACCGTTACTTAGTAAAAAGTGTAAAGTTTCTTGCACCTGACTGGGTTTGAACCTACACAGCAAGCAATCCTTAGATTACTAGTCTGCCAAGTTTACCACTTGGCCATGCCGATTATTATTTTTATGGATTATAAGGAAAATATGCATTTTTCATATCAAAGCCGACATGTGTGCGAAACATAAAGTAGAAGAAAATCACCTTCTCAGCAAGCTCCTTGTATTTTGGTTCCAAACTCTTACAGTGTCCGCACCATGGCGCATAAAATTCCATCAAAACATCTTTATCATCTGTAACTATATCCTGGAAATTCTTTCCTACAAGTACCTGAAATTATAATGTAGAATTTGTATACCAAACCATGCTGCATAGGGTTTAAAATACCTACATTCAAAACTGTAGTTTACAAAATAAGTTCATTTACCCTTTCACACACTAAAATTCTTAAATGTACTTGTCCATCTTTGAATTTGGACAATTCTATGTATGTATAATTTTTAGGGACAATGTTAAAATATGTAGTGACCAAATAGAAATTTCCTGCTGGCTAAATAGATTTCTGACATGAAAAAATCTGAAGTCTGCCGGCAAGATTCAAACACACACCTCTAAGGTGTTTAAATGTTAAATCTCCTACTCACACGAAGTGAAGTTCAATTGTATAACTTACTTTAACAGCTTCATCTTGAGATGGAACTGGTTCAGATTTGAGGTATGCCTCTAATTTTCCATCTAATAAATCATTTGCAAACTTTTCTAAATTGTCCATGCTGAAAAGAGATAGAAAAGCATCAAAATATTAAATATCTTATATTGAATATTTAGTAGAAAAATAAAACAGAAAACACCACTCTTTAACAAACCATTTTTATGGGTATTTATCACAAATCATATCAAGCTGGTATCATTTAAAAGTTACACAATGAATTTGTAACAATCGTATTAAAGTTTCATCGATATCAAGATGACAATACTGAAGTTATAAAAGGTGCAGATGAAAATGTTCTTATGTAATGGAAACATTTTAGTCACCAGCAGTTTTTCTCACATAATTGTGAAGAGGCGTTTGGGAAAGATTATAGCTAAAATTGCTAATTTGGGAAGTAAAAAAGCTGATGCAAGTTCACATTTTTGAGAAAACTGCACAACATTAAAGAAAATTTCGATTGGGAAGAGGCCTTTTTATGGACCTCTGTTATATATAAGGGTTACATAGTATAAAGGGAGAAAACTCATACCTAAACTCATCTGTCATTACAAATTTCTCATCTTTGCTACCGCGTGCTGCAACAACTGGTTTTTCGTCACTGGCTGTAATACCGTACTCGCTAATTTCATGTGAGAAGGCATCCTTGCTGCTTATAGCAAAATTAATGTTTTTTCCAGCATCCTGAAATTTCTTAGCTACTTTCATTACTCTGAAAAAAAAAAAGTGTTTTGTCAAATTATAAATTTTTGAACATGTGCTATGACACAGTTACTATTCACATGAAATGTAACTTTAGAATGTAACATTTACACATGTAATAAATATAAAAAATATCTTAGATTGGACAACAAGTGCTTAAACAATAACTTAAAAGTCAGTAAATCAAACACGCCAAATCCGTACGAATCAGATTTTTTTAAAGTATGGCTGTTTTTGAAAGCTTTATGTTAATTCTGGAATTAAAAGCCCCTTAAAGACACTTAAAATGTATTAAAAAGTAAAAAAAAACATTTTTTCCTTTCATCAAATTAACAAGGCTACCAAATACTAAAATTCAAAACTAATAATTTGAACTTTGTAGATTAAATGCTCTGTCTTTATCGTCAGCTGATGCCTCGTGTTTAAGGTGCCTGACATTCAACTCTGGGATCATTGGTTCGAATTCTTCTTGGGTTACAACTAAGTTTCCTCATGTAAAACTATAATTACCTGTTTCTCCAATAGTTTGTTCCCTTCACGTTTTTCACGTAATCTACATCGTAATAAGCCACAATAAATGGTTTCTTTATTTTATCAGCATTATCTGGTGTTCTGTGTGCACACAAACCAATGCTGAAATAAAGAAAAATCAATTTATACACACTGAAGTATTATAAGTTACACATTCATATAAAAAAATGTCCTTAGATGATAAGATTAATATACCTAACAGCCACCATCTGGCAAGGGGGTAACACTAGACTTTATTTACATTTTCTACAAGCAAACAAATAAAAGGTTTTAACAAATCTTTAAAAAAGAAAATTTAAGTATTTTTCTAGTTTTTCCTTTTTTCGAATTATTTTATAGGTCAATCTAGACACATGTGCGAGGTATCGGCAATGGAAATGTCAACGCCGACATGAAAAAAGTTGAGCTAAAAATAAGTGGAATGACTAGCTTGTTCAGAAATATCTCTATGATCAAATGTCTTAATAGTGATTAGATTATTAGTTACCTCTGTTCACCAATCCACTGTTTAATTTTAAATACTGTTGCATCGTCAGTGTACTTTCGGACCTTCTCTTCAAATTTGCTCTGTAATCTCTTTGGTTGGAACATGACAATATCACTGAAAATAAAAACAAAAATTTTACTTGGTGAAAATTTATGATATATATGTGTATTTTTGAAAGCCCATAAACATATTCAAAGGAAGTTAATAAATACTCCATGAACATATAAATAAGTCATGGAAATAAAACTGTTTGCCTTTCATTGTTGTAGGTTTGAATACAGCCATCACTTGTAAATTAATTATTTTACCAGCTTGCTCAGGTCTATGCAGGATTACATAAAATTCATATTAAAAATTTTCTTAATTCTTAGTACACATACTTCAGTCTATAAAAATTCTTATCATAAAAGTTATTTCAAATGAGTAAGGAAATTTCATTTATACATCATAAGTATGCCATACAAGAATCAAATTCCTCCCCATGTACAATTAGAAAAGAAACCTCATTTCTCTGAATACAAATAGGAATAATAATGCTCAGTATGTCACCAGACCAGCATTCACTTTGGTATGGTGTGTACAGTCTTACCAGAATCCATTAGATGTAACACTTTCATATGGAAATCACTTAATTAAAGTGAAAAAATTACCCTTCCCCCACTCCCAAACAGTGGGGGCATAACAAGAGTAATGGGTGTCATGCCAGGAACCATTAAAAGGTTTAAAACTTGTTCTTACTCTTTGTATCCCTGTTTCTTCAGTACATCAGCATTTGAGGTGTGAGCGAATCTCATTTCACTACTCAAAGCAGATGCAACTTTCGAGAATGTTTTGGCAAGTTCACTGTCAGCACTGCTGAAGAAACCTGAAAATACACCAATCAAATTAACCGAATACATCTTATGTTAAAGTTCCAAAAAGATTTTATACCCGATACAATTTATGTCAGTTTAAATTACTTTGCATGCAAGATTACGCAGGGTTACCAAGGTGGGACCTCGGAAACATTTAAAAAAAAAAATCCCTATGATTCTGTAAATGACAGATTTTAGAAGTCTTAAAAGGTCATCATTTTGGCACAGTTTAAAAACCTTGTTTTTTCCAAGGCTAGAAAAGCTATCCAATAATGCTTCAAACATTTAGCATAAACAATTCAACATAATTTGAAACTGCATTGATACATTCAAAAATCTGACACTCAAAATTTTACAGATAAACGCAAAACCAAAAGATATACATATATTGAAATATTGTCGGAAAACCTGGTCAAGGAAAGAAACTTTCACATACCTACAACACCATAGTCATCACTGTCCAAAAATTTATCACAGTCTTTGTTATTTCCAAGTTCCTTGGATGCAGGTCCTGCCTTTGATTTCATTGTCTTCACAATACCGTCTGAAACATTTCATTTGGATATCATACAGATGGATTAAATACAAAGGATGTAGCACAATGTTTTTTCAACACATTAATGTGTTTAATTTTACTAAGTTTGTCAAATACTATAGACTTTTAATAATTATTTTACTTTATATATTAGATTTAATAGGTAGAAATTTTTTTTATTTGTAGATGAAATTATAATATGTAATGAAGTCTCTAATATATTTAAAATAGTCAGTTTTAATTTTAAAAGCTGTTCACTTTAACCCTTTATTAAAGATATAGAGGTTTCAATAATGTGACAGCTAAGCATTAAATAATTGACTTGTGTGACACAAGATGCAATTAAGACTTATTAGAGTGATAAGTTCCACTTCTTAACACAAAATTTGTAGTCTGACAGAACAATTTTCCCTAATTTGTCATTAAGAAATAAGGAAAAAATACATTTGCACACATGTTTCATAAATTAAATGTTCCTTTTGAAGTTTTAATTATATTAATCACAATACATATTGTATCCAAGCAACAACATTGACACAGTAAGTGAGAAATCCATTGTGTTCTTACAATACACAAATACTTGTGAACATTTGATACAAAAACTACAGTTTTAACAACACCAGTATGCATGTAATACTTTATTACTTACACAGGACCATCAATAGAATATTATGTCCAGCAAAGATATAAAATCAGAAAATCAGACCTCTTACAAATTACTCATCTATCCAGCCTCCTTCGCTTTAAGCTGAAACTTTGCTATAAATCTTATTTTGTACACTTGGTGTAGCAATTTACACACAAGTTGACACAACTTCCCCAGGATAGTATTCCACTTTCCCCAACTCATTTATTAATCAATACAAGCATACTAAATTTGCATAGTGGCTTTTGCCCCATTTTAATTCTGGAAACGCTGATTTCTCTATTATGGAGTCAACTGTTTCATAACCAAAATTATCAAATTTAAGCAGGCCAAAGTATAAGCCTTGTCAAACTGCATGGGATTGCTGGCCGTCATTTCCTTACTCTGATGGCAAACTCATCAAGCCAAAATCATCCTTCAAAGCTACATCAAATAAACCACTCATTTAAATTATTTACTAAATTATGGACAAGGAAGGGAAAACCAGATAAGGAAAAGCAATTTTTAAGTACATGTACAAGCACAACACAACACTGCCTATATCACACACGGACAACTCTATATACAATTATTAAAACATTCATAATGAAGTAACCATGCCTTCTTCAACTGGTAAGACAGTGATTAAAACGTTAAACAACGGAATCACCACACAAAGGCCTATTATGGATAGACACCAGAAAGAAAGAAATGTTCTCAGTAATGGTCAGATGCACGACAACAATACTTGCAAAAATCTTTGTCAAATATCTTTTTTTTAATAATTCTTTTCAAGCTGTCAATATAAAACTGTTTTACCAACTCACGCATAAATCAACTGTTCTTTATATGGTAACATATGTTATATTTATTAACTCTAGATATAACTATGGGCCTTGTTCTCTTGCTTGTACCTTCATTAAAGAAGAAAGCTCGTAAACTGTACACGTGTTATTTTATCAATTATGTAAATAGCATAAAACAGATGGTATTGATATTTTTACATGTGTTAACACAATCATTTATTCATATAAAACCATCAGGAACGAAAGCCACTCGACAAAACACAGTAAATAATTGGTCATATTACAAAAAGTACCAGAAGTAACAAGGCAAATCTGGATGTTTTTTTTTTCTCATGAAACCAACAGCCAGTATACTTTTTGTCAATTTTGTGTATTATGAGTAATCATTACTTTTATCATGATCCACCACATGAAATGTGATTTTGTCAGGTAAAGAAAATAAATTAAACAAAATTAAGGAAAAATCAACTTTGTCCGGGAAACAAAATGACAAATTCAATTATATCCAAGAAACACAAAAACAACTTTGTCAGGGAAACAAAATGTAACTATGTCGGAAAAAAAACAAAAATACTACTTTAACAGGGGATCAAAATACAACTTATTTACTTCACTGGGCATTCAACATTTAAAGCATGACATCAAAGCAACTAAGCCTACAACTCATCTAGATATGTACCTGCTTCTCTAGGGCCATTGTAGTCTTCGGTCATTTCTCCACCTTTAAATATTTTCAGGGTAGGGTAACCACTGACTCCATATTTTCCACATACTTCTGTATTGGCTGTACAGTCAACCTGAGATAATCATTGGTAAATATTGAACAAATGATATAGTTCTATACTAACTTAATATAGTTGGCACCAGTTTCATGTATATCCAGTCTGAAATATAACTCAGACCTTGTATTTCAGGCAAAGTTTAAGCTTATGTTTGTTTCTGGTGTTCCTCATAGCATATACTTTTGCAACTTTTTTTCAGGGACGGCAAAATCAATTGTTCGTATAACCCAGGTTGTTACCACAGCTTGTACTGACAAGTTGAAATTTTTAATTATTCACTATATAATATCATACGGACAAATGAAGAAATGCTTAAGAATAAAACAGATTATTAAGACATAATCAGATTTTGCCGTCCCTGAAAAAAATTCAACATAGGAAATACTTCCATGAATAAGTTACTGAAAAAGAAACAAGTAAATAATTTAAACACCAGAAATACAACTCTTTTTTTTTGTTTGCCTAAGTTACCACTGGTCTGTCTTTAACATTATATATAAATTATTAAATATACTGACAACAAAGTATTGGACGACAATATCAAATTTCCTTACAGGGATTCAATGGCTTTCAGAAAAATAACTAGCCTTTTCCTGAGAATTATTTTCTATTCTCAAAATATCAATAAATATTACATATGAGCTGTAACAATGCGGTTGAAATTTTTAAAGTGAAAAGGCTGATCATGCTGAAATTTAATGAAAATAATGTTCAAAATCCATAATGTGTTTTTTTCTTATTTAACCTTTTATAATTTATTTAGTGAACAATAGTCATTTTTCACCTGTCTCCTTAATAAGATATTCAAAATTTTAATGACATGATTACTAGATACTTACAACATTGAATATTTATGCTATAAGATCATGTTAGTGTGAACTGTGAAAATACATCTTTTCTAGATAAAACAGCATTCCTTTCTGCTTTCAAATTTCTGAGAAAATGGCTCAAATACAGTGCAATATGAAATTTCATAAGCATTTAAGGATTTAAAATTAGAACAGAAAAGAGTGCATATGTTTATCTAGAATTTAAAGGTGAAATCTTATTGAGTGTAATATGCATGTATTATAGTAGTCCATCTAATGTACCCGCAGTTTTTTCACCATCAAACTCCTCAGTCCATTCACCTTTCCTGTATATTGCTAATGTTGGGTATTGTTTTAAGCCTTGCCTCTTGCAGAATTGTTCATATAATGAACAATCTACCTATATTTAAAAGTATTCAGGTTTCTTTCATAAGATAATGTTGCAAACATATTTAATGCATTCACAATCATCATTTAAATGGAATATATTTCAATCAAACAGATCCTAAATCATGTAAATGCTGTTACATCATGATAGAAGAAAACAAATAACTTTTGCTGAAACAGAACCTATTTAACATTGTTTATAAAAGTTGTATATTAAAACTTATAAAGTACCTTCACAAGTGCCACAGGTGGATCACTTTTTTTCAAGGTGGTTGCTGCCTTCTCATACTCAGGAGCTAGCCTTTTACAGTGTCCACACCTGTAGATAGACAATTTAAAGAAAATGAAACAGAATAATTACAAAAGTATTACACAAAAGTGATCGTTCTGGCAAGGATTGTTAGAGATATTCTCTCAGTGTCATTTGGCAAGTAGTAATGAGAGAACTTAAGATTTCCTGAGAGATATAATTTCCATGATGGTTGAGTCCAAAATAGAATCTACTGAAATTGTCTGAATATCCAAATTTTGATAAAAATACTAAGCAACAACTTTACTATTTACTAAATTACAGCTTCTAAGTTATATTGTGTATTTTTATTGTCTAGGACACTATGACAAACAGTTCTGAAAATAGATTCACATTATAGTTTTCTTATATTTTACCAATCATAACCAATGTCAATGAGATTATAGTGATTTTTCTTTCAGAAAACGCCGCCTCAAAGTGAAGAACATTAATATCCTGTACATATCATGTGTCATATTATAATAAATTTAAAAAAAAATTAAACATAAATAATAAATAAGAAATGTTATAACAACACATTAAATAAAATACTTTCATTAACTTTACTCCTGTTTTGTGATTTAACAATGCATTGTCAACAAACTGACAAATCATCAGAAGAAGAAACATTTAAAACAAATATTTTTTTTGTTAATCATGTTTTTTTTTAAAGAAAGGTTAGATCTATACTTAGATGAAATTCATGTTTACTGCATATTTTTAAAAGATACACAAAAAGGGAAGTGGTTCGACTTTCTTGGCCTGTACACTTAAGACTTTGCGCTTATACTAAAAAAGCATTAGACCTAAAAAGAATACAATTTTTAAGACATGGTCATACATTTGTTATATCATTAACAGATACAGCCACACACTAGGGAAGTCCGGTTAACACATCAGTTAAATTCATGTCTGACACGCGATTCCAATTTTTTTTTTTTTTTTAACAACATCGTTTTGACGTTGCATCATGTTATCCATAATAGAAATATGACTGTAGTTCAAATATCTAACGTTTTTTTACATTAGTGCAGACATTTATGTGATAAACAATGCTATTCAGATTCATAAAAACTAAAAGTTTGTACCCCACCCACTTCACTTACCACGGAGCGAAAAACTCAACGAGGGCAACATCATGATCTCCAATTTTGTTGTTAAAATTACTGTCATCGAAATCTAAAACATCACTAGCGCTTGCCAAAGACAAAAGCGCAAAAACTGCAAAGGTAAGTATCATCTTTACGACGCGATCTTTTCTCTCAATTGTGTTGACAGATATGCCGGTTCCTGAACGTGGACGGTGCAAATGTGTTGTCGTGATTTCATTGGTCCACGACAATCTCTTAACAACTTCCGGTAAAGTCTGGTTCCCTGCCCGTTTATTTCATGAGCACACAGCGGTTACTTCCCTTACACTGTAAGCCAATTTATCGAAAAAAAATTCAATACATGTCCATTACGTGCACTTAAAAAATTGAGGGTCTTAGTACGGATGATGTAGAAGTAAATCAGGGTCTTTCAAATAGAATTTGAAAGACACTGAGCACGTTTAAAAATATTTTTGTTATTGTATGCTGACGATACTCTTTCGCTTGTACTTTGTAGAGTAACATGTAAATTAATTCAAAACGAAAATTGTTGTATTTACAAAACGTAAAATAAGACATGTTTGTGATTTTTTGTATGATGGAAAGAAGTTAGAGACCGTTTTTCTTACTTTGGTGTTCTCTTCATTTACAATAGTAGCTTTGTTATTTAAAACTAAGGCAAGATTGGTTGAACAAGCAAGAAAATCCATGTTTTCAAGTGTCCGCACGATTACATTTGTTTGATTTGATGGCATCACCAATTTTTTTTGGCTGTGAGCTTTGGGGTTTTCAGAACATTAACTAATCACGGCTTTAATTAAACTAGATCTATATATAATTATTTAAAGTCATAAATAAATTTATCAATTTCAATTGAAATTTTAAAAAATTATCTTGAATCTCAAATCCTACCACAAATATATAGTATGCGTTGTATAACAGTTAATTATATCGTTTAAATTGAGACTACTGGTCGAGGACCATCAACCGGACACTTTTTGAACATTTTTTCCATAAAGATTTTATAATTTCAAACTAAGAGACCTGAAAATTTGACACAGTACAGCTTGGTTTTTCTCCTAACTAGAGCACCAGTTTGTAGATCTACAGTACAATAGAAAATTCGCCCAAAATATTTGAATTTATTTAAAAGCAAACATCACGTTCAGGTCCGAAATCAAACGATCGGACAAATAAAGAAAAACTTTGTTACAAGAACTTGTCAAGATATATATAGGATTCAGGGGCACACAAAAAGAAGAATTACAGGGAAAACCAAACATATTAGATAATACATGCAAACCAATATGAATATAGCAAAAAGTAGTAAACTAAGAAAAGAAAGATAAAAACAACTACGCAAGCAAATAAATATACTAGAGAATAATAGATAAATAGGCACAAAATATATGTATACATGGCTCCATATACATGGCACGCACAGAACAATTGCATTCAGATTCATTCCAATCCAATTCCAAACTGTCGACCAGAAAATTCTTGAATTGTTTGTAAGATGACCAATGTCTGAGCGTGTAGATAGCGAGTTCCACAGCCCGACAGCCGAACAGGGAAAATAGTATCTTTTAAACTATACTTCTTGTTTGTATTTTAGTGCTTTTTAACACGAGTATATTTGCATTGGAATTTATTTCATGCAAATTACTGACAATATACATAAAATCTTAATTTATAAGTAAGAGTCCACTTTATCGAGACTTGTACCCTTTATTGAAGTCTAGACTAATAACTTGTGTGCAAAATTTCAGATCATTCCCTCGCAACTTTTCCCCAGATTTATTATTTTGTTTTATTGTGCAAAATGACCACAAAATGTAACGTACGTGTTGCAATGCTTTTCACTCAAACAGAGCTTTAAAAAAGCACAAGAAACCGATTTTCAATTTAACTCTATAGAGTATATTTTTCCATTTTAAGCGCATTACTTCATTTAAATTTACAAATGTTATGTTATTAGGTTGTTTTTTTTACCTCAGTGGGGCTACTTTGTGTTTTTAGAACTCATAAACATCTAAAAACTGTGTTCATACGATGGAATCTTTGATCATTCAATGTGCCATTTCATGAAATGCGATGTATGGCGTGAAGTTAAAGAATGCCATCTAGAAACGAGACATCAAATGAACGGAACTAAACGAAATAAAAATTTCGAGAGCCGGACCACCTAGAAAGGCGGATATGACATATTGTGAAAAGACAAAAAAAAAAAGTAAAACGACGATTAATACCGTAATCAAGTAGATTTAGAAAAAGTGGAGCCATCAAACGGAGATTGCTTTGCAATAATTCTAAATACCCACACATATAGCATATCAGTCAACTGTTTTAAATGTTTTAAACTTATAAAAAATGTATAAAAAATCCATAAAGAACATAATTATTAAACGGATAAACGGCAAAATTCAAAAATGTTGCAAGCTCGGATTGATTTAGCATATTCATGGAGAGCAGTAGTAAATGCGAGCTACTGCCCGTGCCCCGTATCACCGGCTTAACCAGTATTCAACATTTATACATGATAATGGGGAAATTTAGAATTCATAAACATTAAGCTACACATTTACCGCCATTTTTATCAAAGTATATTAAATTGTAGCAAATGCATCTTTTTTACAAGAACTCCATGTACTTTCACTATTAATAGACTGAAATGTAGTGTTAATTATATGAACGGATGGGGATATTTCAGCTATTGAGCTTTCCATTACGTATACATCTTAATGAATTCACAATTTCGATTTCAAATGTTCACTATTCATGAATTTACGATATCAACATCATGAACTCACGACTTAGATTTCACTGCAATATCGCATTTTCACGAATTCACGATTTCATGAAGCTGAAATCCGTCTTTTGTATAGGTATGAATAAAATTCATACGCCCGTGGGTCGCCTACCAAGAACGGTAAGACTGTAGGATGGTCAAAAAGTATCTCCTTTCAAGAAATGTTCATCGATCAGTTTTGAAATACGCTTACATGTATCAGCAGCGTCCAGGCTTTGCTTGTGAAAATTGTCTTTAATAAATAGTTCTTATAGTATCATCATATTGACAAAATTGAAGAAGAAAACTTGCAGGTGAAGTCAATCTTTTTCCCACACTGCACAAACCTTAGCACTTCACAGTTCAGTGAGTTGCATTTGTGGTATCGGTGTCCGGATTTCTGTAATTACACATTATCTAATGTAGGAATTTTTCGTATCTAATCAAAAAAGTCTTTACGACAACACAAAGACACAGTCAATGAGCAGATTGTCACCAAGGAGAACTAACTGAAATGCTGGTATACTCCGTTTTTGTGTCGCCTTGAAAAGGTGACATATAGGGGTTACTTTTGTCGGCCGGCGTCGTTGTCGGCGTCCCCTAAAGCTTGTCCGGAGCATTACCCAGTCACTTTAAGTCGGATTGACTTCAAACTTGGTATGCATGCTTCTTTCAATAACCAAAAGTGCAGTGCACAAGAACCAGTACTCTGCGCTTCTTATTTTTTGAGTTATTGCCCTTTGTAAATTTTCATACTTTAATTTTGTCTGGGCCCATTTCTCTTCAACTATAAAAGCTATGGACTTGATACTTCATAGGATGATAGATCTCATTAAGGAGAAGTGCAGTGCACAACAACCGTTACTCTGCATTTCCTAATTTTTGAGTTATTTCCCTTTGTTAATTTTCATACTTTATTTTTGTCCGGGCCATTTCTCCTAATGTTTAAAAGCTATGGACTTGAAACTTCATAGGATGATAGATCTCATTAAGAAGAAGTGCAGTGCACAAGATCCGGTACCCTGCATTTCTTAGTTCTTGAGTTATTGCCCTTTTTAATTTTCATACTTTAATTTTGTCCGGGCCATTTCTCTTCAACTATAAAAGCTATGGACTTGAAACTTCATAGGATGATAGATCTAATTAGGAAGAAGTGCAGTGCACAAGAACTGGTACTCTGCATTTCTTATTTTTTGAGTTATTGCCCTTTGTTAATTTTTATACTTTATTTTTTGTCCAAGCCATTTCTCATAAATTATAAAAGCTATAGACTTGAAACTTCATAGGATGATAGATATTATTGATAAGAAGTGCAGTGCACAGAAACTGCTGCTCTTCATTTCTTATTTTTTGAGTTATTGCCCTTTGTTAATTTTCATATTTCATTTTTGGCCTGGCCATTTCTCCTTAACTATATTGTTCACAAGGCGACACACCCGACTCGCAGAGTTCTAGTTATTGTTTGTCACTGTCATGCTAATACCTCCAAAGAACTGTGACTAGCAACATTCTTGTACAACTGCCAATAGGAGTTTCAGGAAGTGTGCAACAATTGGCGCTCGAAAATGCAGCACTTTAATTGCAGCAGGAAATATCCTCTAATTGCAGTATGCTAGTGAAGCACTTTCAGTAGCATTTGTAGCATTTGTAAATATGGCTCCCATTTGTGCTCGCCAATGAAGCTCTATCACTTAAATTTACACAGAATCGGTGCTCGCCAGCGAAGCACTTTCACTATTATTCTAGGTGTGTCAGGAATGTGCACAAATAGGCAATCTCATTAAAATCATATCATCGTTTTCGCTCCATTACTCTTCGCTACATAGCGAAGGGTAGTGCAACGACAGTTAAGAGATTAACAAATAAGGTGTACTGACATTCTATGAGCATCAGACAATTTATCCCGATGGCGCTCGCTAATGAAGCAATATTCCTGACAGTGCAGGAGCACATGAATAGCGCTCGCCTGAGATTCACTATTATATGAATGTCAATGAACCTAGGAGCATCAAGCAATGCACAGCTCTCCTCGCTAACTAACCGTCCGGCCCCGGAAAAATTGTCGTAAGAATAACGCTGATACAATCCGCTAGAATTCATTCATGTCTGCATAGCTCCATTTTGGGTACATTTACTATAAATTCACATATATGTTATATAGTATGCATATAATTAGAGAGAGAAAAAATGATGAAAGTTATGAATAAAGTCTTTCGTTTTTATTGATTCTATATATATGTGTTTTTACGTGCGATTTTGCGCGTAAGAGTTTCGGCCAAAGCAAAACACCATTTGGGCGAGTATATCATGTCATCTACCAACTTTATCTTATTTCTTGCGAATTATACAATTATGCCTACTCTGTATCTTGTTACAGTACTTTAATAATACTTTACAATTCTCATTAATTCATATTAAGTGTAAAAAATGGAAACATTGGTGGTCGACCTACAAGGCAAAATTGTAATTAGCTCATTTTGATTGTTCCTTTGCATCGGCGTAAGTGGTTATTGCAAGCTACTGCCCACGTCCCGTAGCACACCGACTTTAGTAGATTTCAACATTTATAAATTCCAATGGTGATATTTAGAATTAAGTAATTTCCACCGATTTAATTTGTTCATGTAGTTGTGAATGTGGTATTTTTTGTCCATGAAAAGTGAAAAGGGGGCGTATAACCCTTAATTAAACGAATATTTGTGTCATAATTAAGCTATTTATGCTATAAATGTGAACACAGTGGGGAGTAAGAAGGCGGTATATGATGACAGCTATCTAAGGACGATAGCTAACAACAGTTCTTAACATAAAGCAACCTACACAGCACACTCTTTTGAGATACGAAGCGCTGTACAGATAGATATTTATATTATTCATCTACTTTTAAAAAATGGTTACAATCGTAATGTTGATTTAATTTCAAAATCCATTAGTGCTTTTAAAAAACACTTCTGTGACAAGGGATTAGCCAGCCTGGTTTTTATGGCGGTGTGATTTACAATTCGTAAGATTTTGGTTCATGGTAATTTTTCTGCTGTTTTTACTAACATAATTAAACGTTTTATTAAAAGAATAAGGCCCTACTATTTTAAGACATACTGCATGCTTAGTGTTAAATCCTTTTACAGTTGGACACTACGTACCTTTCCTCTTTTGATTACATCTGACGGACCAAGTGAGAGACTCTATGATGGGCAGTTTTTAAGCCCTTTGGGACTGAATTGTCTTAATGTTCGTCTTCTGTCTTTATTCGTCGGCCCCTTGTAGGTGATTTTCTTGTTGCTCTGTCTTCCTTTAAGACATTGAGTACCTTTGTTAAGGTCATTGGGTTTACTTTTATATGTATCTACATGATCATTTCTGTGTTCTACTTATTTCACCTTTTGTAATCATAACAACTGTTAGAATTTCACTTGGCGGGAATTCATTTTATTTACAATGTCTCTTTCAAAGGAACATGGTGGGGCTAAGAGTGAGGTTTGGTGCACCATTAACCGGTTTAAACTCTCCAGCAGTCATTATTATGCTGCTGATCGTTCCAAGGCGGCGCCCCTCTGTGTTCCTCAGATGTATATCTTTGTTGTTCCATGTTTTGGTGTCACTTTTGTTTGTGTCCCTTGCTTGTTTTTTGTCTACGGTAAGTGTCTTCCCGTTTGCCCCTAGTCTTTTGTTGTTGTTTTTTTGCCCCTCCCTTCCTCGAATCTCGAGTCCCCTTCCCCTGTGCCCTTCTACTTTGTGGGCCTATTCATCTACCACTTACATGTATTTGTTTTCTTTGTTTTTCTTGTCGGTTACTATTGTTTCTTTTTAAGCCGCGCGCCCTGCGCTATTTTTGTTTGGGGCCCTCCAGGGCTCCTTGCCGCTGGTTCTTGTTGCTAGGTCGTTTGGGGGTTGCTTTCATTGAACGCCGCCATTCCTTGTTGATCTTGTTCATCATATTTCGATGCTTGGCTGGGTTCCCTGTCGGTGGTTATGTATTATCGGGGTTTGTTGGGGGCTTCGTTCTTTGCATGAGCGCCTTTCCTTGTTGATCTTTGTTCTCATATTTAATAAATAGAGGATCTTAAATGAGTGTATATTAAAAGCAGAATTCATACAACGAATAATATCATGACAGCCTATGACCAGCATAATATTGTTTTATTCAACGAGTTCAATAGCTTCGATCAGTATTAAATCTACACGAATATAATATTCACATAACCAACATAAGAACTGTTTTACAGTGAAAATAGTCCTTTTATGTTATTGACGCGCATATAGTGAAACGCTATCATTTAGCGCGTCTTTATGCTGTGTTTGTATAACGCAAATGACATCACGTTAATATATCACGTGCAAAGCGGCACGGGTGTGTGATAAATCCGAATTAATTGATATTGCATCTAGAGTATATCCTGGTTCATAATTAGTTGTTAAAAGCACATTGTCCCTCGAAAACGAAGAAATCTTTTCTTCTTTCGAAAGGACAAACATATATAAGTTCTATTACGATTAAATAATGTTTTTAAAAATGCATGTAACTATACTGTAGGTGAATATCAATTGAAGAAAGTATCGATGAATGTGAACTTATTTGTCATAAAAGTGGTATTTAATGTAAACAGAGTAGTATTTTGACTTTCATGCCAAATATTAAATAACTATAACTGTACTATTTGCAAAAAGAGCAACAGTTCTAGCAATAAAGGTTTCAGGTTTTTGACCAATGATTAACTTTTTGGAAACTATATAACATGACACCTGTCCTGGATGACACTAAAAAACTTCCTTTTAAATTCAACTTACAAATAAAACTGACCATAGTGGTTTATTACTGCTATTATTAATTAGTGTTCAACATCAACTGCCGACCAATCCAACCTATGTTAAATATTTGCCTTATGAATACATTCAACAAGGATATCTAGTATGATACTTTTATCCAAACTACGTTCCCGAATTATCCCCGTGAAATGTACGGTACCGGTACGGTGTAGGAAATAAGGAAAAGTACGGACTGAATAAAAAAAAGTAGACAAAAATTTAAAAAAATCAAATATTTGTAAGATGTCAGTTTATTATAGAACGTAAATTTATTTTACTCTTATTTGATTTCAGCAAATATGAACATTTATTATTTTATTCAGTTGTTAATTTTGACCAATCGCATAAGCTGTGTAACATTCACCTCGAAGTAAGGAGGACATGAGTAATGAGGATAAGAAACTTATTTCCTTGTTCAAATGTGATTTACAGTTTGACTGACATGAAAATATCCAAGTTATTGCATACAGTTAAATACGGCTTTTGAACAGGTAATTATTGATAAAGTTGCCAGCAAGTGAAACATTCAAATTATGTTCTATATGCAAGAAACGTCAGGACAGAAGTTAGCGATGTTCGAAATTTTTGTCACCAGACACTTGAATGTTAGGTCGTTTGATGTTTTGGCATGTCTAGTTATTACATTTTCTGTTGATGCTTAACTCATTTTATGGTTTAACAGTAGAAAGCAAATACCACTTGTTAGTGTGCAACCCATTAAGAAACGGTGTTACACCTTAAAATATTTGTAAACAAATAAATCAAGTCAAATAATTTGTCATAGCCCAATTCTGTCTGCTAATTTTAAATGTCTACTACTACAAATTGATGCAACCACGGACTTTAATTGACAATAAAAGACAGACTTATTAAAGTCAGTTATTATGCCCCCATTTCGAAGAAAAGGGGGTATATTGCTTTGCACTTGTCGGTCCGTCGGTCTGTCGGTCCGTCGGTCCGTAGACCAAATGGTTTCCGAGTGATAACTAAAGAACCCTTAGGCCTAGGAACTTCAAACTTGGTATGGTGATTGGTCATGTCCAGTAGATGACCCCTATTGATTTTGGGGTCAAGGGGTCAAAGGTCAAGGTCACATTGACCTTGTAGGCAAAAACGGTTTCCGATCAATAACTAAAGAACCTTAAGGCCTAGGAACTTCAAACTTGGTATGGTGATTGTTCATGATCAGTAGATGACCCCTATTGATTTTGGGGTCAAGGGGTCAAAGGTCAAGGTCACATTGACCTTGTAAGGAAAAACAGTTTCCGATCAATAACTAAAGAACCTTAAGGCCTAGGAACTTCAAACTTGGTATGGTGATTGGTTATGATCAGTAGATGACCCCTATTGATTTTGGGGTCAAGGGGTCAAAGGTCAAGGTCACATTGACCTTGTAAGGAAAAATGGTTTCCGATCAATAACTAAAGAACTTTAAGGCCTAGGAACTTCAAACTTGGTATGGTGATTGGTTATGACCAGCAGATGACCCCTATTGATTTTGGGGTTAAGGGGTCAAAGGTCAAGGTCACATTGACCTCTTGGGTAAAAACGGTTTCCGATCAATAACAAAAGAACCCTTAGGCCTAGGGACTTCAAACTTGATATGATGATTGGTCATGATCAGTAGATGACCCCTATTGATTTTGGGTTCAAGGGGTCAAAGGTCAAGGTCACATTGACCTCATAGGTAAAAACGGTTTCCGATCAATAACTAAAGAACCCTTAGGCCTAGGAACTTCAAACTTGGTATGGTGATTGGTCATGACCAGCAGATGACCCCTATTGATATTGGGGTTAAGGGGTCAAAGGGCAAGGTCACATTGACCTTGTAGGTAAAAATGCTTTCCAATCAATAACTTAAGAACCCTTAGGTCTAGGAACTTCAAACTTGGTATGGTGATTGGTCATGACCAGCAGATGACCTTTTGATTTTGGGGTCAAGGGGTCAAAGGTCAAGGTCACATTGACCTTGTAGGTAAAAACGGTTTCCGATCAATTAACTAAAAACTTAGGCCTAGGAACTTCAAACTTTGTATGATGATTAGTCGTGACCAGCAGATGACCCCTATTGAGTTTTGGGTCAAGGGGTCAAAGGTCAAGGTCACATTGACCTTGTAAGTAAAAACGGTTTCTGATCAATAACTTAAGAACGCTTAGGCCTAGGAACTTCAAACTTGGCATGGTGATTTGTCATGACCAGCAGATTACCCTATCAAGGGGTCAAGGTCACATTGACATTGTAAGTAAAACGGTTTCTGATCAATAACTAAAGAACGCTTCGGCCTAGGAACTTCAAACTTGGCATGGTGATTGGTCATGAGCAGCTGATGCCCCTCATTGATTTTGGGGTCAAAGGTCAAGGTCACATTGACCTTGTATGTTAAAACGGTTTCCGATCAATAACTAAAGAACCCTTAGGCCTAGGAACTTCAAACTTGGTATGGTGATTGGTCATGACCAGCAGATGACCTATTGATTTTGGGGTCAAGTGGGCAAACGTCAAGGTCACATTGACCTTGAAGGTAAAAACGGTTTCTGATCAATTAACTAAAAACGCTTAGGCCTAGGAACTTCAAACTTTGTATGATGATTGGTCGTGACCAGTAGATGACCCCTATTGAGTTTTGGGTCAAGGGGTCAAAGGTTAAGGTCATGACCAGTAGATACTTGATAATCCTTTTTAATTGTTTGATCACTGGGTCAGAAGTCATGCATAATAACCTTATCACATGACTAATTGGCTGCTGATAGGGGGCATACATGTTTTACAAACATATCTTGTTGCAACTTGGATGTCAGTTAATAACAGTTTTATTCAAAGTAAATTTCTGAGAGACAGTTAAGATTTAGATATAGATCTATTATAGATTTTAACATTTGACACAAGAACTGAATGTTTTTATTGTTATGCACTAGCCAATTGTAACCACATTTCCCTAACCCATGGGAATGTAGGGGAATTTTACCTTGGATTCTCAAACCTAGAGCTGTCATTGATCCATAGCAACACATATCGACAATACATCAATATTGGATGACAAATATCAGCGATACACCTATATATTATATATCAATATATACTCCTAATTTCTTGTATATAATTCACTTTCATACATGTTTAAATAATTTTAGTAAAATAATGTTCAGTTCATACAAATATGCTGTGAACTTTTGTCCTGTTTATCAATTTCCTTTGCAAGATTTTTTCTTAACAATTTTGCTCATCACTGCTATGAAATGTGTCCATTATGAAACAACAACTTAGTGTAAGACATGGCCACCAGCTTTTGTATATGTTTGGGGTGAATTTTCATAAAATAATCAAAATTAATTAAATTATTGATTTTTCCAAATGTGTATCTATTTTTGACCTACAGAAAAATATCAACAATGTTGATATTGTTTTTATAGATGACAGATCTACTCAAATCCCAGGTAAAGCCTGGCCTGTATAGACGGTCTGTAACGACAGACACAGATATGTAATCCCTGCACTGTGAGTAGTAAGGCTTACTTCTAATTTGGGCAATGGTGCCAAAACAAAACCACTGCATTGACCTTGCAGTGCAGAATTGAATGATGGAAGATCAAATACTCTGCTCCGCCCACTCCCCTCCCGATAGGTGGTTCAAGGATTAGCTTTGAATTGACTCAATAAATAATTGAGGCAAAATAAATTTGGGCCCAATTTTGTTTTACTCACTTAAGTTTAAGGTTAGGTCTATTACAGAAGTATAAATAGTAACTGAATTGCTACCTTTTGAGAATGTAGAAATTTGTACTAAGAAGTATAAAAAAAATTCAAGTCTTGGGGGTTTTAGCTCTTGTGTAATCACTGTAATATATTTATTTGTTGATTAAGTTGCTTTTATTGATACTTCAGTTCAGACAGAATGATTTTATACTGGTTCAAAATAGTTTGCAAGTTATACTTTACAGTATGTCTTAAATGTTCTAAAGTATAATATTAACAGAATATATTTCCCTCATCTAAGCTTGGTTCAGGTCTTGGCCTGAGAGTCATGACATGTAAGCATTGAAATATTTGTTAGCAATACATGTGAACTTTTTTTGATGATCAAGTGGGAGATTTTTTTCAAAAAGAGGGAGATTTTAGAATTTGCATTAAACAAAGAAGGAAGTTCTGACATTAAAAATAGGTAGATTTTTTTAATTTGTGAAAATACCCCTTATTTCAAGCAAAATCTTTGAAAATATGGCTACAGAAATAGGGAGTCTCCCGCTAAAAGTGGGAGAGTTCACATGTATGGAACTTATTAGCTTACAATTGCTTTTTGCTTTCGACTTTCAGTTAGTTGGCTTTTGTATCAGCATCTTTCTTTGCAATGTTTTGGCATCCAGTAGAAATTCAAAAATAGGTGTGAATTTACACCCTGACTTTAAAAAATTGGGGCAATTATTTTGTTCAGTCTGAAAGGGAGATAAGTCCATTTAGGATATTCAGCTTGCAGGGCTTTTTTGCACAGATAGGAAAAAGAGCCCTATCCTTAAATTTCGGGAAATGTAAAATGGTATTTTTGCAGCAAAAGGGGAAGAAAAATCTTGATGTTAATGAATTTTAAGGGAAAACTGCATGATTATAAAAAAATTCATAGAGGGTAAGATGCTTATTAGCTGCCTCTTCTATAGAAAGAAAAAATGCCTTGGCTTTGCAAGGGTTAATGAAGAGCAATAATTCTCCGATTATTAATAAAATCTAAAATTAAATGATTTGCCGATATTCCCAGAGGAGGTGAAAAGGCGTGCTGTAATTTTGAACTTAACCACATGAAAAATGATAACGTAAGGAAGTATCAAAATCAGTTAATTGATACTAAATCGGGCCAACATAATGTAAAGTACATTAAAACTCAATGTTCACTTTGTGTACATATATAATATTGATTTATTAGATCAGAAACTTCTCCAGTATTAACAAGTTTTAACAAAAACATTTCTTCTACTTGTTTTTTTAATGTTCACTGTAGGTGTGTATTTAAAACCTACACAGAACTTTAATTTATAGATTTTGTTTATTTAAGAATGTCAATACATTATAGATTTAAAAATATTGAATGTGGCATGGATATTTGAATTGTTGATAATTAAAGAGGCTAAGAACTGTATTAGCTGTAATGGATCACAAAAGCAAACTATATGGTTGGACACTTTAATGAAAATTGGTATAATTTTTAACCCGTCTGATAGGGTTTAAAGAAGTTGCAGGTCATGAACTTAGGTAACACAAGTGTTTGGCAAAAAGGTTTTAATAAATTAAAGAAGTTGGTGATTACTAAACAAATGTAACGTTAATTTTATACATAGTCATTACGTAACACAGTGGAGAAATGACTAAATGACTAAAAATGATGACTGCTTTTGTCTTGGATTGAAAGATGGAGAAGTTCATTTAAGATGTTTAACATAAATGTTAAGATGTATGGCAAACTACTGTGCTATAAGGAAGTTAAAAGATTTTGAAGAGCATTCC